CTTTACCGTCACAAAAATAGAAAAGGGGGTTAATATCTTTTACCGTGACACAAAAAGAAAAGGGGGTTAAGATCTTTTACCGTGACACAAATAGAAAAGGGGGTTAAGATCTTTTACCGTGACACAAATAGAAAAGGGGGTTAAGATCTTTTACCGTGACACAAATAGAAAAGGGGGTTAAGATCTTTTACCGTGACACAAATAGAAAAGGGGGTTAAGATCTTTTACCGTGACACAAATAGAAAAGGGGGTTAAGATCTTTTACTGACACAAATAGAAAAGGGGGTTAAGATCTTTTACCGTGACACAAATAGAAAAGGGGGTTAAGATCTTTTACTGACACAAAAAGAAAAGGGGGTTAAGATCTTTTACCGTGACACAAATAGAAAAGGGGGTTAAGATCTTTTACCGTGACACAAATAGAAAAGGGGGTTAAGATCTTTTACCGTGACACAAATATAAAAGGGGGGTTAAGATCTTTTACTGACACAAATAGAAAAGGGGGTTAATATCTTTTACCGTGACAAAAATAGAAAAGGGGGGTTAATATCTTTTACCGTGATACAAATAGAAAAGGGGGTTAAGATCTTTTACCGTGACACAAATAGAAAAGGGGGTTAAGATCTTTTACTGACACAAATAGAAAAGGGGGGTTAAGATCTTTTACCGTGACACAAATATAAAAGGGGGGTTAAGATCTTTACTGACACAAATAGAAAAGGGGGGGGTTAAGATCTTTTACCATGCCAAGAAAACCTTAGCATTCTCTCCATATAGCAAACTCAATAAAAGCCGAATTAACGTTAATCTGTGATTCTTCCCCGGGGAGATGTGCGCCAAGCAATTAATGTCAGCAGGTTTGAGGGAGGGATCTTAAAATTTTACTGGGTTTAAATTATAAGTAGAATACTAATTATTTAGAAGATTCCCCTCCCCTGTCTTTTTTTTTGGGGGGGGGGGGGGGTGCGGGAGTCAAGAATAGGGAAGGAAATTAATTATTGTAAAGTAATTCTTTAAAAAAAGATAAGCTGTATTTCATTTTTTTTAACGTAAATCAATGTTAAAATATTTTTTCTTGGTACAAATTGGCATCTGGTCGTTGTGGAAGTACCGCGTCGAAATATAGGTAAAAGGGTACCAAATTCCCGGACGCTTACATAATTCCCTGGTTGAACAAGATGGAGACGAGTACTGAATGGGTAGACGTTACCCAATTGGCTATGTAAACATTTTCATTTAGAAGTGAATATTTTCTGCTGATATTTTTTCTTATTTTCTTCAATTCAACTTTTTTAAATATAAATTTTGGTACTGCCTCTGGCATTTTACGTATTTTGTAAATGAATAAAGATTTTTGACAGGAACTATTTAGGGCATAAGGGACTACTTCCTGGGGTAGACGTTTATTTTTTCTCTAACTAAGAAAGCTAAGAACCTAGGATCCACCCCCAGAAGTCTGCTGCCGTAAATTGTCTTGCCGGCGTTTTGGGAATATGGGTGATTTGCATCAATTACACTTTTATTGACTCCATCGCTGTCGAAATCGAACGAGATTTCTTGGCATTAACAGAGTACAACAGGTTGTCCTTGATGGTGATGATCTAGTCCAATGCCTGTGGTCAGTGGGGTTCCTCAAGGGTCAGTCCTTGGGCCCCTTCTATTTTTAATCTTTATAAATGACCTACCATCTTCTGTTACATCAAATACATGTAAAAGGCTTTTTGCCGATGACTGTATCTTGTATCGACCCATTTATAATCAAAATGACTGTGTAGTTCTTCAAAAAGATCTTGACTCGTTAGCTAATTTGGAACATACCGGTATCTGGGGAATGCAAATGTAATTCACTCAGTATTACCAGATCTCGCACACCAGCAAAATATAACTATAATCTGAAAGGACACACATTAGAATCTATAAAGACAGCAAAATATTTAGGGGTAAATCTAACATTATCCTACAACATGTCCTGGGAACCGCATATTAATAATATAACTTCTAAGGCAAATAAGATACTGGGTTTTCTAAAAGGAAATTTGCAGGTAAAAAATGAAGAAACAAAATCTTTGGCATATGAATCAATGGTCAGGTCTAACCTCGAAAACTGTTCTTCAGTTTGGGCACCTCATACAAAAACTTAAAGATAGAAACTAGAAAATGTTCAAAGACGAGCTGCAAGGTATGTCACACATAGATACCACAATACTAGTAGTCTCAGATATGTACACCATCTAAATTGGCCAACTTTGAAAAAAGAAGAAATATGTAGACTTATAATGTTATTTAAAATTACACAAAAATTAGTGGCTATACACGATTCCAAAATGTTGCGCCCTCTTGCGGAAGAGTTACCTACCTTATGTATTGATGACGTCAAACGAGGATAAACGTAAGATTCGCACATGACACAATGCACAAGATTCAAAACAAAGTTGAAAGTAAGTACTTAAATGGAAACAATTTTGTGTTAGAAAACTTGCGTTATTATATTTATACGCGATGTACTTAACGTGGATTAAATGAAGATGTTGACATGCAATCAATGGGCAGGTTAAATCTACTTTCAATTTTGCGCTTATTGTTATGTAAAAATGATACGTCAGTCATTCTAAGAACACATGACCAATTAAGACTTTTCTATGTCACTTAAAAATATACCGTTGTAACATCTTGACTTTAAATTATATATATGATCGATTTCAATCCTAAGTCCCAACATACACACATGGTTTCGAAAAACATTCACCTAGGCCTATAACTTACATGTATGTATTCGATTGAAAATAATTTAATGTAGAAAAACGAATTCAACTGCAAATCTTCATGTCACTTCATTTATTTACAATTTCAATTTGGATTCTCAACCGTAAAAAATTCCCAAAGAGATTGTGATGAATGTTTAAAAAAAAATTATCCAGGCAATAAAAAGAAATCAAAAAACATCTTGCAAAGAAATGCATGATCTTTTTTATGCGAAATCATTTCCTGTGCATGGCTAAAAATCGATTAACTTCCATAAAGATTTTGTTTTAAATTTATTAACGGAATGCATATATTCAAAAAGAACTGAAACTTATCACGGAACTTTGCATCAGGATCTTTGAATTTAGTAGCGAGTCAGCTACTAGTCGTATTTTAGACGATAACATTTTCGAAATAAACTCGTGAGACAGGATTTTTTTTTTTATAACTACACTCGTGCTTCGCACTCGAGAAAAAAAAAATCCTGTCCCATTCTTGAAATAAATTCCATATTCAACTAAAAACATTGAATAACCTCTATTTATTTCTTCATGAATGTACTGGCTCATCGATGGGCGCTGTTAAACGTGCGGGGGGGGGGGGGGGGGTGAACCGATTGAGACAGAAACGGAACCTGTAGCACGTGGATAAGAGTCCATTCAAGAGTATGTAAATATAACGAATAACTGTCAGATTTTTATGCAAATTATCGGGCAAGCCACTCGATTGATTACATTATGAAATAAAAAAAATTAGAAAGTTATTCCTTAACAAAATCTTTTCATATACATACCGTAGTTGTATCTTTAAAACAGGTAAAAAGTCATTGGATTAATCGCGTTTGTTCGCAGAGTTAACGGACAATGTTAGTTGCCCCTGAATTTTAATATTATATCTTTAGATGATATCCCGGCATTTATGTTATTTATGAAACCTGAAAAGTGTAAGAAAACTGAGCTTGAAAACTCGCTGAAATATCGGGATGTCTGTTTAAAAAAAATAATGTCAGAAACTACATATCACGCCTGTTCAATCGGGTAAGTAAGGGCTATATCACCATGTGCAACATTCACAGTAATTGATCCAGACTCTGGACTTTTCATATTTTGCAAAATGTAAATACGTTGTAAATAAAAGTACAAACAATGCAGAAAAAAGTTAAAGTGACAATTAGATAAATCTCATTTCGAAGACTGATGGCTAGAGTAGATTTTTAAGCGAATTACAGTACTAGTACTTCTTCCGGAAACCTTTTCCCACACATTGATTTCAGAACATGCGAAATTGAAAGGAACTATATTCATAACGAAGAAAACCTGTTAAGAAAGGTTACAAGTTTTTTTTAATTAATTTTTTTTTGAAAGGGAGGTGTTTATAAATATGGTATACACATGTGCAATGTATACGAAAGAAATTGATTCTGTGTACCAGGGTTTTACCAACGTTACATGTCAGTGAGTTTAGTCGTATTTTTAAAATATGTTAAAGGTACTTGGACACAGATTTGAAGTTAATATATATTTTCTCATTTTTTCTGTATAACATCACGAATTATATATTTTACTAGCATGTCACACAAAAATTAATTAAAAATCGTATTTCGTTAAAAAGTTATTAAAACTTTAAATTTTTTGGCGGGTTTGATTGACACATCCTTGCACTTTCACAAATTTTAACTTTATTCTTTATCCTTAGCAAAAGTGGCAATTTTGATGTGTTTTAATGAGAAATAATAAAACTTTTATCAAGAAAAATAATTTTATTCAGAGTAGAAATGTTAGAAAGCAAAACACCTTCACAAGTATCGTCATTCCGAACTAAGAGATGCGTGCAGAGTTTAGAAAATCGAGCACACTCGTGTTATGTACACTGTAAAAAATGATGTTTAACTTGTGTTTAATTTTTAAACAGTCGTGTTTTACAATTAAACATAGTACGTTTACAAAACACTTGCGTTTTATATATAAACACTGATGTTTAAACTGGTGTTCAATAAGTAGGGTGTTTAATCATCCGTCTTAAACACGTAACATTCATATGCATCAAATCAAAAAATAAATTAAGTGTTGCTTCTTAGTATCTGCTGTATGAATTTGTCACTGTTACAATGTCTTAATTTACGAAGTAATTCCGCACAAAATATTAGATATTTATCGACACAGAAAAAAAAGTACGAATAGCAAGGGAATATGTTGACTTTAGATCATACCAAAGACATTCACAATTGACATTAATTGGTAGTAATTCTGTGCCAAAATTTCAAAATTTTCAGAAACTGTTAAAGAGGAAATAGAAACAAATATTATGATATTTTCTATAATTGTATCGTTATTTTAATCACCGGTGTTTAACACGAGTGTTCATTTCTTAATCATATATATTTATAAATTAAACACATAGCATTTATATTGAAATTGCAAATTAAACACCAGTGTTTAATACGTTATGATAGAAAATGACGCAGTTGATTATGTCATAACATGCCATTTGAACGCAGAAGATGCAGAATCACGCATATACTGACAAGAAACGCCATATCTAGCAAGGAAATAAGAGGTATATTTATACATTTCTTTACGTAAAATCTTTTAAAAAAGAATGCTGAATACATTAGAGATCTAAAATGTTTTTCATTTATGAAATGCAGGATTGCTTCCTATAGTTAGTAATCGTCTGAGTGCAATCTGGCCATGCGCAGAGGTAGACAAATAAATGCTTATGTAGCTATATAGTCTTGATATCTAATTTTAAAATTTGCAGGGACATTCATCTGGTACTGTGAATCCTGAGAACGAAGATCATACTTAACCGAGAGAGGTGAGTCTTAAAAGAAAAAGCCCCCCCCCCACACACACACCATTGGTTACTGATAAATGAAAATAATCCAATAAGGAACCTACCCTTGCTAATATTTATGCTCCTTAACATGCAACAATACCACATTCGCACATGTACTAGCTGCAGATCTGTAGCGTTATGGTTTTTATGTATTTCCCTTTGACCATAACTAATACATAAAACTATTACGCTAAAGATCTGCAGCTAGCGCATCGACCAACAATAATTTCATCTCCAGCCCGTGCACGTACATGTATTCTTCAAGGAAACTTTACTTTTTTTGAGGGAGTGTGATACGTGATAGAAATGCCTTGGGACAAGGTAGCCCCCCCCCCATTCTCTTAATTTTTGCTGTTGGGTTGTTCCTTCCAGGTACATGAACATTTATTTTTTTTTAGTGTACAGACTGTACATGTACGCTTATACATGTATGATTTACAGGTATTTGAATTGCAGATTTTTATTCCAAACTTGTTTCTCAGTATGTATAATATAATTTAAATTGGCGTGAACAATAACAAACATTTTTTTTCGATATTTATGTGGATCTATTCTTTTACAGATAATTATCTGAATTTGCATAGTGAATATTTTTTTCATCCATCTTTCAGGATATGAAGAAATTAGAACTACTTCGGGTGAATGCAATTTTGGAGAATGGAAAACTGGAGATCATCACCCGTTGTAGAAGAACCTGAATTTTACCCGCAACCAGAGGAGCTAGACTGTTTAACTCGGTTCGAATATTATATGGATATTGAGTGAGTGATACCCCGGCATCTCTTGTTTAGTAGCAAGAACTGGTCCTTTACAATTCAAAACTGGAAAAATTTCTTTATTTGGTTAAAACTCTGAATATTTGTGAAAGTATAAACTTGTAACATTTACAACTAGATTTATTAGTGTAATACAAGTACATATAATTCATGCTGTACCAAGACAACAAATATCATTTTCAGTTTTTTGTATCATATTATTTTATCATTTTGCTTGTTTTATTTATTAAAAAAGATGTAAAGGATGGTTTAACCTATTTTTTAAAAAATGTTTTAAATTTTACTGATGAAAAACATTTCATTTTATTAAGCGATTATGTTTTTTTTCATATTTCAAAGACCCTCCCCCGCCCTCCCGACACCAATTTATTGGAGTTTAGTTTAAACAGATTTTACATCTTCATGCTAGTTTATTTTGAGAATGCTATTTTTTTCAACCAAAATTGAATAATGTGTCCATGTGTTGGTAAACGTGTTATTTAATGTTTCAGTTGTTTATAAAGTTTGAACCCTCAATCAACATAAAATCAATTATTAATTAAAAATAGCTTTATGTACAACATACCAGGTATTCATTATCAACCGCAGTGTGTTTTGTACTGATTTATATTTGTTTCAAATAAAAATGTTGAAAACTTATAAACACGTTTAAGTATTTATTCATTTTGTAAAATAAACACGTTGAAGTGTTTAAAAATTGACCTTTAAACATGTTTAAGTGATTATTATCTGTTGCATCAAATAAACATGTTTAAGTGTTTAAATGTTTAGGTTGAACACGTTTATTAATTAAACATGAAATGTTTAAATTTTAAACACTGATGGTGTTTATGTAGTAAACTCTAAGTGTTTATTCAGTGTTTAATCTTTAAACATTTTGTGTTTTTGAAGTGTTGAATATTAAACCTCGTGTGTTTAGAATTTAAACATTCTAACGTGTTTATTTCTTAAACACTTCTTGAGGTTTTAAATTCTAAACGTGTTGAAGTGTTTATTATCTGTTGCAATATGGTGTTTATTTATAAAACACTTATTTTTTACAGTGTACACAGTTTTTGTAAACAGGGCTCGAGTTCTGTTATTGTTTATATTTAGAATTCACCGGGTGCGTTAAATTGTCACAGTCTGCTAAGCACAACTGCACGGACTGACAATATATTGTGTGTTTGTTTTGCTTTCGAACGTGTCTACTCTGAATTTTATGGATTATAGTATTAAAGTAGTTCTATACTCGCACTACGTCATTTACGAATAGTAAAACCGGAACCGCGCGTCTTTTTTCCGAGATGAGAGTTTTTAACTATATTGGTTTGACTTTTACTTAGCGTTTTAAATATCCGGTAACGATTTTGCTCGAAGTCGGTCGCGTCAACAAACACATATTGTACAGTTTAAGGATAAATTAATTAAAAGGAGGGGCTGGGAACAACTTTCGGTTGACAGAAATAATTAGGTAATAAAACGATATTTCTGTGAATGATGCATGTATGATATGCCGCGTCGAAAACACGGACCATATACTTGTTACATCAGAACATGACTGTATCAAACTATCGAGGCGACTATTGTCAGCGGCCAAGTTGAAGCTAATAGTGATAATTCGGAAGAAAAGTAATGACTACGATTTGACTTAGAAAATTTATGGATTTTACTAATCAAACATTACAAAATTTACTTTAAATAATAATAATTGCATAAAACACATACCCCCTCCCCCAACCTGCCTACCCACGAACCCCAAATTCAAAATTATCTTTTGAAAAAGTATTTGACAAAAGTTGATTCACTACAGCATACTTTGTTACTTTCTGTAACAAAATCAACCAGTTTCTGAGAATCAGTGAATTTCTTTCATTTTCATCGTCTCCAATTTAAAGACAAGTGTGTGTGTTTTTTGTTTTTTTTTTAGTAAAATAAGATAAATTTAAGGTACAATAGGTTTTGGGTGTGTATAAGTATTGTTTTAAATAATGTACAAGCTTGTTAATACAAGTATACACTCAAACATTAACAGTAATACAGAAATATGTGGCAATACATTACTTCTGGAAGAAAGAAAATAGGGGGGTACCTTTAGTGTAGAGCTCATACCACGAAAAGTAATATGTCAACATATAATTTTTTTAAGCTTATTATTTTTCTTAAACATAATTTAGTAAAAATAATGCAAATTTACGAAGTTTGAGTCCATAATTTTTTTGTAAATGACCGAGATTGTCCTGGGAAGCATATTTTCTCACATTAAATTTTGATACAATAGCCTAACAAAGTGCATCTATTTATAATGATTCATGCAAAACAATGATATTTTATTGTTTAATAACATGTTTCTACTCTATTTTGGGTATTAAAGTTGAATATTTAGACGTAAATTAATTTATATACAACAAAATCTAGAACAGGTAAAATTTAGTATTTTACATTTCGGGGTATATACTCCGATAGGCTATAGCGGAAAAGTGAACATGTTGACATATAATTTTTCTTGTGTCTATCCATTGCTGGGATGTATGTCTATCTTATAAAAGCAGATTTTTAAAGATTGAGCCCATTTAGTGCCGAGTATAGAACTACCTTAATATTTATCATTTATACAAAACGAGATTGCCACTTTACCTAAGGATAAAGAATAAAATTAAACTTGTGAGAGTGCAACGAATATACCAATCAAACCCGCCGAAAAATTTGAAATTTCAATATCTTGTAAAAGAAATAAGAATTTTAATTAATTTTTGTGTGAAATGCTATTGAAATATATTAGACGTAATATTATAGAGAAAATAATAACTTCAAATCTGTGTCCAAGTACCTTTAAAAGCATCAATAACAATAAATGGTTCTAATAGTACTACAACATGTATACCGCAATCAGGTGAAGATAAAAACTCAACATAATGAATAACAAGGCACATGACGCTACTATTTTCTTTTAATAAGGAATAACACCTACATGTACCTAACAATAAACACAAGATAAGGGCTATTTATATTATCTTTTATTAAAAGAAAAATAAGTAATGATATCTTTTGCTTTAGGTCTATGATTACTCTTATATTTATATAAACAAGTAGTATACAATGTAAATACACATTTTTAATGCACAATTTTGTATTTTTTTTTTCATTGCACTAGGTTTATTTATACCTTCTATGGCACTTAGTTCTTTTTTTTTCTTTTTTTCACATACGTTTTATAATTAATATTTAGAGGTCCGTTTGCGCAGGGCCAGCGTATAATCATCAGGGTTGATGGAACGATGATAATGTAGATGTAGATGTGAATATATACAGGTATGTGACTTCACTTCTGCATATACTTAACAACATATAAAGCGAATCCGTGGTCGAGTGGTATGTTTCTCGCCTCCCATGTGAGAGCTCCCGAGTTCAAGCCCCGTACGTAGGGACTTTTTTTCTCTTTTTTAGAAATGCTTTTTTCTCACTTAAGGTAGAATGCCACACCAATTTTTTATTTTATGGACCTATGAGTCATCCTTTATAAACAATGGTTTCAGCATTGAAAGGCCGATATAAGCTCTTAATTATTTTATATGAATTTTTTTGTATTTTTTCAAAGAAAATGAAAAAAATTAATTACATCCAAATTAGATGCTTTCTTGTAAAAATTTTGCTGTAAATGAATGCATCACATGAATATCTTATAAAATATGAAAAGAAAGTTTGGTTAGACTTTTTGATATTTTTTATAAAAAATTATTTATGAAAATAAAACACATTATTTGTAAAAATTTTTTTAAACCTATGGTTAAAAACACCATAAAACTAGTCACAACTAAGGACAACATGTTTGTCAATCATATTTTTAAAAGAAATTGAAACGAAATTGAGAAATTTTAGAGAAATTAATTTTTTTGATATTTGGACCTAACCCGATCAAAATTAAACTGATCCCGATCAAAAATAATACAAAATGAATAAAATGATAATTTATTCCCTCTTAATGTATTTACAATGAATAAATCTATTTCATTGTCAGGTTCTATAATGTTTTAATCCTTATAACACCTCATCAGACTAGTGTTCTAAGGAAAATGTTATTTATTTCCAATAATTGTACAATTATAGTCGGGATCGGTTTAATTTTGATCGGGATTGGCCAAAATTAAAAAAAAATAATTTCTCTAAAATTTGGCTACTTCGTTTCAATTTCTTTTATAAATATGATTAATGAACATGTTCTCCCCAGTTGTGGCTGGTTTTAAGAAGATTTTAACCACAAGTTTAAAAAATATTCACAAATTAGATGTTTTATTTTAATAAATATTTTTTTATAAAAAAAATTAAAAAGTCTAATCCGACTTTCTTTACATATTTTATTAGGTATTCATGTGATGCATTCATTTACAGCAAAAATTTTAGAAGGAAGCACCTAATTTATATGTAATTAATTTTATTCGTTTTCTTCGAAAAAATACAAAAAAATTCATATAAAATAATTAAGAGCTAATGTCGACCTTTCAATGCTGAAACCATTGTTTAAAAAGGTTGACTCGGAGATCTATAAAATAAAAAGTTGGTGTGGCATTCCTCCTTAATAATAGTATTCAGCGCGCAAAATGAAAAAAATTACGAGTTATGGCTTGTATAAACTCGATCATAAAATCATCTTTACAGTGTGATCAATATTCCATATAAAAAGGATCTTTTATACATGTACACATAATAAAGAATAATCAATTAAATCTTTATATCCATAATGTTATAATTATTTTATTTGCTTCAGTATACATGCATGTATACATTTAATAATCCTACAAATTCAGTGAGAGGGATCCGACTCCCTCCCCCTCCCCCGAACTGCGCATGTTTTACTTTTTCCTTAAGCGGGGGACACAACTTCTCTGAATTAGCTTCTTCTCAAGACATTTAGTTTGAAAGACCTTGTGAGATTGTAACATTTATGTCCGTTTTTCGTAGGGGGTACTATAACATACCCAGAGTAATGTTTTTCAAAAAATAAAACATCTGAAATATTTATTGCATAGATGCATCAGGCGCGGATCCAGAAATTGAAGTTAGAGGGGGCGCCAAAAGTAGGCAAGGGGTCTCCGGGCGGCCTTGAGTCCAGGGCAAAGCCCTAGTGGGGGCTCAGGGGGCAAAGCCCCCGGAAGCTCCTGGTTTTTATAGATTTTGTAGGGTAAAAAAGAGGTCTACCAAGTATACATATTTACATTTCCTAGACCAAACTATGATTTACGTAAATTTTGACAATTTTACGGGGGGGGGGGGAGGGGGGGTGCACCGGATGCGCCCCCTTAAATCCGCCACTGTGCATGATAAGTGTTCATGTACAATATAGAATAGAAGATTAGAATTGATTTCGCTCGAGAACCAAACTGAACCAAAATTTATCCAATATATTCTTAATTTTAATATATCAGTGCC